CCGGGCCACAGCAGAGAGCTGGCCTGGAAGAGGGGCAACCGGGACAGAATCCGGCGCCCTGACTGGGACTAGGACCTGGTGTGCTGGCGCCGCAAGGCGGAGGATATTGAGCCACGGCACTGGCCCGGTAATGCTATTCTTATTCAGTACCCCTTTGATATCAAAGATTCCCTATGGGCACACACACACACACACACACTGAGGCATAACCATACTCCTGTCTGTATTTTCCAATACATTGGAATTAATTCTTCAACTTTTTCTTCCTTTATCTTGACTCTCTTTTAGCTGTCTTGCAAATCATGTCCTTCTTGTGAATTCGTTTTTCTGATGTCACTATCTATTCCTCTGGGCATCAAGGCACAGAATCTGGGAATTATCAATTTCATTACTTAGTTTCATTTATGAAAATGTAATACTTATTATGCATCTTTCTTCCATACTGAATGTAACCATCTCTTCTCTTTGCTTGGTGAAATTCTTTGCAGTTTTTTACAGCCAGCTTTAAAAACAAACAGGTGCTGGTGCAGTGGTATAGTGGGCTAAGTCTCCACCTGTGGCACCGGCATCCCATATGGGCTCCAGTCCTGCACCCACGTTGGGGACCTGAAGGAGGCTCCTGGCTCCTGGCTTCAGATCAGCGCGGTGCGCCGGCCGCAGCGTGTCGGCTGTGGCGGCCATTGGAGGGTGAACCAACGGCAAAAAGGAAGACCTTTTTCTCCGTCTCTCTCTCACCGTCCACTCTGCCTGTCAAAAAAAAAAAAAAATTAAGGACAGAGATCCTACATGAGGAGTAAGTGCACAGTGACTCCTGTTGTTGACTTAGCAAATTGACACTCTTGTTTATGGCATCAGCAATCATCCTAGGCTCTTGTCATGAGTTGTCAAGGCTATGGAAGCCTTTTGAGTTCGCCGACTCCGATCTTATTTAGACAAGGTCATAGTCAAATTGGAAGTTCTCTCCTCCCTTCAGAGAAAGGTACCTCCTCCTTTGATGGCCCTTTCAAGAAAAAAAGTTATTAAAAGTAAGAAGTCCATTATTTGGAGCCATTGCTGTTATGTGACCCAATGTAAGAAACCTTCCCTGGATACTGTGCCTGGTTATCTGCCTAGTGTAAATGGCTGTCTTCCAAGACATGGCTGCTCATCCTTGAGATACCTTCTAAAAATATTCACAACTAGATCAACCATCAAATTTTTATTTAGTTGAATGGAATAAAGCCTGAGTGTCCATAGCTTTATTAGTACCTGCAAGTGATTCCGATGTGCTGCCGGTTTTGAGAACCAGCCTTTGACTAACCTATGGCCCTCGAAGTGAGATTCTCCAACTATTATCATCATAATCACCTGGGAACATGGTAAGTCTATAAATCCTTAGGGTCTAACCCATATCTACTTAATTAGAAACTCTAGGGTGAGTCCAAATTCCTGTGCATCAGCAAGTTCCCCAGGTGATGCATACTTGGGACCCACTGGCTGCAAACAGTCCTCAACAAAGCATAAGGAGATGCCCTTAATGGCTTCCATCAGTGACATTTCAGCAGGCAAGAATGGTTTTTGGTGTTGGGCATTTCGTGGGTATTGTTTTCTCTCCATGTAGCCATGGCTAAAATTTCATCTGTCATGTCTGACCCTTTTTTGGACATGATATTTAGAGAGACACTTTTCTCCATTTTCTGAGGTATAAAAGCACAATAAAGATATGCCACACGACTTTTAAATATAGGAGGTTTAGGCAAGACAGACTCGTAGGAAGATGTACGATATTGTTTGAGGGCACAGATCTCAACCTCTGTGAGACTTGTATTTAAGGATTCCAGCTTTCAAGCTTACCAAATGGTATGCTCAGAGAGAAGCTGTTTACCATCTTTTAAGCTTTGGTTTGCCCACGAGCTGTAGCATCCCAAAATTCTGTGGAAGGAGTTAATACAATTATATATGAAAAGAACATGTACAGAGCCTATTACATAATGAATCGTCAGTACTGATTTTACTACTTTTGTTGTCATTTTTTAAAAATATTTGAAATACAGAAATAAATAGAATAAAATGAATTGACATGGATTTAGTCATTTTTGAGATTTTCCCATATTCACTTTATATATATAAACATTATACACACATTTTTTGAAAGCAGGGTAGGATTTATGAAAAAGATCACAAAATGAGGGGATAAATGTATATTATTAGATAAGGACTATACTTCAGTTAAACAGCATTTACAAATATCTATATATCAAATAATATGGCATATACACATTTTTACTATTTAAATAATAACATACACATAAGAAAAAAATGATACATCTTTTCTGTGTCTGAAGCATTTCACCTAGTATAATGATCTCCAATTCCATTCATTTTGTTGTAAATGTCAGGATTTTCTTGTTTTTATGGCTGCATAATAATCCATTGTGAATATATACCAAATTTTCTTTCTTTATTCTTCCATTGAGCAGCTATTACAATTGTGATTGATCTCATAATTCTTATATTTTTTCTTGATGAATTCATTATTGATGTATAAAAATGCTACTTATTTTACATATTGATCTTATATTCCACAATATATAAAATTATGTCAACTGCAAATAGAGATAATTTGACTTTCTCCTCTACTATTTGTATGCCTTTTATCTGTTTCTGCTGTTTAATGACTGTGGTTAAGACTTGCAACATTACATTGATTAAGAGTGAGGAAAGTGAACACCCTCGTCTGGTTCCTTATCTTCCAGGAAACGCTTTCAGCTTTTCTCCATTCAGTATGATGTCGGATGTGAGTTTCTCCTATATAGTCTTAACTGTGTTGAGTTTATGTTCCTTCTAGACATAATTTTTCAAGATATTTTTATAGGGCATAGATGTTCAATTTTATTGACTGTGCATATCTACTGAGTTGATCTTTTTTTTTTTTTTTACAGGCAGAGTGGACAGTGAGAGAGAGAGAAAGAGAGAAAGGTCTTCCTTTTTGCCGTTGGTTCACCCTCCAATGGCCGCCGCGGCTGGCGCACCGCACTGATCCGATGGCAGGAGCCAGGTGCTTTTCCTGGTCTCCCATGGGGTGCAGGGCCCAAGCACCTGGGCCATCCTCCACTGCACTCCCGGGCCATAGCAGAGAGCTGGCCTTGAAGAGGGGCAACCGGGACAGAATCTGACGCCCCAACCCGGACTAGAACCTGGTGTGCCGGCGCTGCAGGAGGAGGATTAGCCTAGTGGGCCGCAGCACCAGCCGATCATGTAATTTTTACCCTTAATTCTATAAATGTGATGTATTGTTTATTGATCTGTACATGTTGAGCCATCGCTACATCCCTGAGCTAAATCCCACTTGTGAATGATGTTTTTGATGCATTGTTGGTGTCAGTTTACTAGTATTTTGTTGAAAATGTTGTATATGTGTTCCTTGAGAATATTGGAATACAATTTTAATTTTTTGTTGTGTCCCATGCACTTTCTTACCTATAAGCACGTGAAGTATGTATTTTCCTGTTCATATGCCCAGATAAAGAAACTGGAGGATAGAGAGTTTACATCATCCCCTAAGTCGACAGTTAACTAGATCTGAGATATAAACCTCGTGTGATTTGATTTCAGAAGTTGGGTACTGTAATTATGTAAATAAGACCCCAAAATATATCAAGCTCTAATCCTTAGAACCTGTAACTGTTACTTAAATGTCAAAGCCAATGCAAATGTGAGTGATATAACAATTTTGAGATGGGGCAATTATCCTGCTTTATCTCAGTACACACTATCTTGGTCCCTTTTAATTTGTTACAAGGAAGTATCAAAAGCTGGGTAATGTATAAAGGAAACAGATTTATTTAGCTTATAGTGCTGGAGGTTCAAGGTATGGCACTGATGTCTGCTCGGCTGACAGTCTCATGGTGGAAGGCATCACGATAATGGACGTGCAAGCAGCCCAGGAGGAAGCGGGACTTGGGAGGTATCAGCTCCCTTATAACAGTCCATTCAGTACCATAAGACCTGCAGTAATTCCTCCCAAGGGTGCTATTCCTGTCGTCTAACTATACCTCCCAGCGAGCCCCATCTCTAAGGGTTCCACCATCTCATCGTCACTGCTTTGGGGACCAACCTTCTATCACATGAATCTTGTAGACCACAACCAAACCATATTCAACCATACCAACCCTAAATGCAATCACAAGTGTGATTATAAGGCAAGGGCACAGGAACATTTGGCACAGAGAGAAGATGAGGCAATGCGACTATCAAAACAGAGATTAGAGTATATTGTCATCAGGAAAGGAGTGCTGGAAGGGGCAAGGAGAAGATTTTCCCTTACTGCCTTTGCAGGGAGTGCAGCCCTGCAAACATCTTGAGTTCAGCTTAGTGATTCTGCAGAACTAGAAGAAAACACATTTGTTTTGTTTAAAGCCACCAAATTTTTGATAATTTGTTATTGGTAACACAGAAAACTACTGTGAGGGTACCTCAAAAAGGTCAAGGAAAAGTAGAATTAAAAGAAGTTTATTTTGATGCAAAAAAAAATCTTGAAATCCATGTAGTTTTACCCTAAGTCATTTTCTGTGAACTTTTTGAAGATTCTAAAATCCCTCTTAGTCTGCTCTACACTGCCACGTACAGGCAAATCCCAGACTCTTCAAGGCAGACTCAACTTGAATAGGGACGAGGGTCAGACCAGCATGACCGGATTCAAAGGTGTTACTTCCAAGTCTGTAGGAGTCGGCTTAGAGAAGTCGATCTAAATCCAAAGAACACTTAAGTTAAAAGTAACCGTAAATATTCATGTCATGCTCCTGCAATTACATGTTGAAAGAAAAGTTGATCCTTGAACTTGTGATAAGGCAAATCCTGCACAGGAGAGTTCACTGGCTAGTAGGGCAAGTCCACGGGCGCCCGGTCGGGGACGGAGTGGGCTCCCGGGCTCCGTGGGAGCTCCGCCGGCGGGATTCCCCCGCCTCCTGCCCCGCGCCGTCGGGCCTTGACTTGTCTTCTTGTGTCTCCACAGCGGCGCGTGTGTGTATGGAGCGCTGGGCGGGGGTTGCGCCCGCAGTCGCGCCCCCGGCCCGCCGCCCAGGCCATGCCGCCCTCTCGGCGCGCGGAGCCGCGGCCGCCGTGCCTCCAGGGCTGAGCCGCGAGCGGCGGGAGGAGGCGGCGCCGGCTGCGGAGCGGGAACGGGAGCCGCGGCGGCGGCGGGCAGCGCGGCGGACCCAGTACTATGGCTGTGTACTGCTATGCGCTCAATAGCCTGGTGATCATGAATAGCGCCAAGGAGGGCAAGAGCGGCGGCGGCGGCCCCCGGACCAGCGACAGTCAGACGCCCCCGCCCTCGGGGAGGGCCACGCTGAGCCCCGGCAGCGTTTTCAGCCCCGGGAGAGGCACCTCTTTCCTCTTCCCCCTAGCCGAGTCGCTGTCGCCCGAGGAGCCCCGGAGCCCCGGGGGCTGGCGGAGCGGCCGGCGCAGGCTGAACAGTAGCAGCGGCAGTGGCAGCGGCAGCGGCAGCAGCAGCGTGGGCAGCCCGAGTTGGGCGGGCCGCCCTCGGGACGGGCAGCAGGTGGTGGCCACCGGCACCCTCTCCCCGCCGGAGCCCGAGGAGGCCAAGAGGAAGCTGCGGATCCTGCAGCGCGAGCTGCAGAACGTGCAGGTGAACCAGAAAGTGGGCATGTTCGAGGCGCACATCCAGGCGCAGAGCTCCGCCCTTCCAGCGCCCCGCAGCCCACGGCAGGGCAGGGCTCGCTCGCCCTCCCCCTGCCCCTTGCGAAGCAGCAGCCAGCCCCCAACAAGGGTCCTGGCTCAGTCCTCCCTGGGCGAGGAGCGCAGGACAAAGTCTTGGGGGGAGCAATGCCCAGAGACTTCCGAAGCCCACTCGCCGAGGAGAGGGGTGCCCAGCCGTTGCCCCTCGAAGGACACGGAAGGGGTGGCACCACTCCCTGGCCTGGACACCTCAGCAGGAGCAGTGGCCCTGCACCCAGCCACTTCGGTGAGAACGGAGAAGGGAGTCCCTGCCAGTCCCCCCGGTGGCTCACCCACAGCTACGGACATTGACAAGACGGGCTCTCCTTCGGGAACTCCGAGCTGCCAAGCTCCCTCCTTGGGGCTGGGCAGAGTGAGCTTCATGGTGGCCACAGACACCGCAACAGCTGCATCCACCTGGCCGCTGTGTCCCCACGCTCCCGCCCTGGCTGAGCCATCTGAGAGGGCCTGCGAGCCTGGGGGAGCAGTCTCCCGGGAGACCCTGGCCTCCGAGATGCGGGGACAGTTTCTGGGCAGCGACGACACAGGCCCAGCCTCGGAGAGGGCCAGGGCTTGCGGCAAAGAACCCCCTGGGAAGGCGGGGATGGGAACTGTGCCCTGTGGCCTCCCTGGCTCCAGGGTGCCTGAAGCCGGCGAGAGACCAGAGGAGACGACTGTGAACGCGCAAAGCTCAGAGGCCCAGGGCTGGGCCAGGCCGCCTGGAGTCCTGGGCTCGGGAGGTCCCGGGGAGGCCCCAGGTGGGGTCCCGGTGATCCGGGGGCCACGGCAGCGCGCTGACCGAGCGGAAGAAGGGTCTGCACCGCTGGGCTTGCTTGGGGGCCACTGCCCCGTGCAGCCAGTGGGCCAGGAGATGGAGGCGGGAATTCCTTCTGGAGCCTTTGCCCTTTTTTTTTTTTTTACATGAAACCTGTGTGAAGAATTATTTTTTTTTTTAAATTGATTTGACAGAGTTAGACAGTGAGAGACAGAGACAGAGAGAAAGGTCTTCGTTCCGTCGTTTCACCCCCTAAATGGCCGCTACGGCCGGAACTACACCGATCCAAAGCCAGGAGCCAGGTGCTTCTCCTGGTCTCCCATGTGGGTGCAGGGCCCAAGTACTTGGGCCATCCTCCACTGCCCTCCCGGGCCACAGCAGAGAGCTGGACTGGAAGAGGAGCAACCGGGACAGAACCAGCGCCCCAACTGGGACTAGAACCTGGGGTGCCGGTGCCGCAGGCAGAGGACTAGCCTAGTGAGCCGTAGTGCCGACCCAAGAATGTACTTTAAAAATTAAATCTGGTGGTGAGTACTTGCATGTGCGAAATTCTAGCCTGGATGAGGGTGTTGAAGGTGCAGACGGGTGGGACTGAGTTCAAGGCAGCCTTCTTCCCGCGCAGGTGTGTGCGAGCATGCTTCTGGCAAGACGTCCGCAGCTTCCAGGTCTAGGAGAACCCTGAGTCACTGACGTGAGGTCTGGGTGTTTCTCTGACCTGTTTGGGGATGAGGACACCAAGACCCAAATGGTGAAGGGGCCACAGGACACGCCTAGGCTCTGCCTCTTAGATTCATTTGGTTTTCTCCTTTTAAGATGTACCTATTTTAATTTCGTAAGTAAAGAAGATTTATTTATTTACTTGAAAGGCAGAGTGACAGAGAGGGAGGGCGAGGCAGAAGGAGCGGACCTTCCACCTGCTGGTTCACTTCGTGAATGCCTGGGGTAGCAGGGGCTGAGCCAGGCCACAGCCAGGGGCCTGGACCTGCATCAGGGTGTCCCTTGTGAGTACGTGAGCCATCAGCTGCTGCCACATTAGCAGGACGCTGGATCAGAAGCACAGGGTAGTTGGGACTGGACCCAGACCCCCTGATAAAGGGATGTGGGTGTCTGAAGCAGCAGCTTAAGCTGCTGTCCCATAATACCCACCCCTGGAATTTGCATACGGCCAGGGGATGGCGCCCTGGAGTCCGTCTTGTTCGATTCCATGATGCTGTGATTCTGGACAGGATTCCAGACCAGCTGGATGTGCGGGATGCAGCGGGGTGCCTGGGTGTGTGACAAGATCCTTTGGTGTGGACCTCGGGCCACACTGAGGCCAGAACTGGGCACCTTAAGTTTGTGCTTTCACACGAGGGCAGTTGATTGATTGGCCTCTTCAGAAGAATGGTTCTTGGTAGTTCAGCATTGGAAAGGCGTGGGCCACGATGGTCCGCACACTACTGAAGATTTCCATGAATAGGCACACTGATCGCAGAGGCAGTGCAGGGAGGAGGCGAGAACGCCAGTCTGAAAGCACAGAACGCTCTGTGGCTTTGGGCCCCTCAGGTGTTTCAGCTGGGAAAGACAGAGCCAAAACAGCACTTCCGAGACCTTGTTTTTTTTTTCAAAGATGAAAGTACTTGGCCAGCTCAAAATTCTTTTCAAATAAAGGTGGGGTACAGAGAAAAAGGTTGCTTTTCAACGTTGTCCCTTTTATGCAGGTGTGGAGCCTTTGCCAAGGTACAGCTCACAACTTTCCTAGCCTTTATGTTTTCCAGGGCAATCTCTCGAACCAACCACTTGGTTGCTGCTTTTGGAGCAATGCAATTGTGGTATTGCAAAAATGATTTTGGGGACTTTTGTTTTTAAGCGCTGAATGGCTGTGGAGTGACTTTTCTGATTTCTGTTGGCGCCTGTCTCCAACTGTAAGTGCAGATTAGATTAGTCCTGTGTAGTTTATTTATATTCCTAGGAGTATTGATAACATTGTTGGGCTTGTTTTATCTTCTCCAGTTTCAGCTTGGTTATCAAAAGGTAGGATTTTAAATTATTGAATGGAAAGAGTTTTCTATCTTGGTAGGAAAGACTGTGTAGATCTGAGATCAGCAGGTGATTTGGGGTTAACTCAGGAACTAGAACGCTCTTGCTGTGTCACACGTCAGCACAGAGGGTTCTGGGGTTTTGTTGGAGAACTTGGCCTTGTAGGTGGGCACGTTGTGCTCTCAGTCCCATGACAAACGCCTGGCAGCGATTTTTCACGTTGTGCCGAGGTGGAGCTGGCAGTGTGAGCGATGTGTTTTTTTCCCCAAGCCACACCAAGCCCAACTGTGAGCTCCATGGCAGTGTGAACAGTCCTTTACTGTGTACCTGCTGCCTGCTTAGAATTTCGTATTCCCAGTTCTCCTGAGAGGGGTGTCCTTGCTGCGGCTGCACACTGTTAACCTACGAAATCAAGCGCCCGGGGCCGTGGCCCATCTCCACAGCATGGAGCAGAAACACCCAGCTCAGACTCAGCCCCGAGGCTCCCGTCCTGCTGACCGTGGGCAGTCGCCGTGGACGGCGGGTGGAATCTGCCAGGCTGATCCCGTGACTGTATTCCAGCTCGACTTGCCGTGGTGCTGCCACCAGCCTTGCGTGTCCTCGAGGTCCTTGTCATCTCCTCACCGGACCTGCCTCATTCACCCTGGGCTGCAATGAGGACAGCAGCCCTGACGCATTTCCGCAGAAGTGAACGCCGTTGTTCTGAAGACAGTTCACGTCTCCTTGGATCCAAGATACCATAAATACACAGGACCTCCTTAGGAAGCCAGGTCCCTGTGCTTGCTGTTAATAACCCAAACTTTCCTGTAGCTTCCATAAGGAAGCAGATCTGGGTCTGGGAGCGGCCCTGGGCTCATTTCCTCCTGTATCGTCCTTCTACAGCTGGGGGCAGCAGGTCAGAGCATTCACTGCACTTCTAGGACCCTTTTTACCTTCTTTTCACTTAAAAATCTCTTTTGTGGATAAGCTTCTTGTTCACCCCTAAAAATCCACTGGGGCTTTACGATTAAAAAAAGCTTTTAAGGCCAGCGTTGCTGCTCACTAGGCTAATCCTCCACCTGTGGTGCCGGATTCTGTCCCGGTTGTTCCTCTTCCAGGCCAGCTCTGTGCTGTGGCCCGGGAGTGCAGTGGAGGATGGCCCAAGTACTTGTACCCGAATGGGAGACCAGGAGAAGCACCTGGCTCCTGCCTTCGGATCAGCACAGTGCACCGGCTGCGGCAGCCATTGAGGGGTGAACCAACGGCAAAAGGAAGACCTTTCTCTCTGTCTCTCTCTCACTGTCCACTCTGCCTGTCCAAAAAAAAAATCTTTAAAAAAAATTTTTTTTTGACAGGCAGAGTGGACAGTGAGAGAGAGACAGAGAGAGACAGAGAGAAAGGTCTTCCTTTTGCCGTTGGTTCACCCTCCAATAAAAATTTTTTCAAAAAAATTTATTTGAAAGGCAGAGTTGCAGAGAGGGAGAGACATCTTCTATCTGCTGGTTTACTTGTAACCCATATGGCTGCAGTGTTCCAGATTGGTCCAGGCCAGAGCCAGGAGCCTGGAACTCCACAGCATGGGCCCCAGGCCCATGGGCCATCTTCCACTGCCTTCCCAGCGAGCTGGATTGCAAGTGGAGCAGCCAAGACTTGAACCAGGCAGAGTGTGTTTGGAGAGGGCGCTGGGCCCCTTGGAATAAATCTGTGCAGCAATGTCTGGATTTTGTTGAAGTTCCATTTTTATCCCACCCAGTCTAGTGCTGGAAAGAGGCCGGACTGGAGGTGCTTTCTGCAGGATTGGCGCTTCTAGGCGACCTGTGACCTCACAGGCTGGGAGGAGCCTGAGTTTGCCCATTTGGAATAGGGCTAGTTGCTTGCAGCTGCCTCTTGTTCAGTGGCAGGGTTGGGGAGTCCTGTTTGGCTTAGACTCAGGGAGACAGGCTAAATAGCTTGGTCAGCAGGAGTGCACGGTGCCACAAGGGCCAAGGTCAGCCAGGACACCTTCTTGCAGAGTGTCTGTGTGGGAAGACCACTCCAAGGTCTCTTCCTCAAGCCAGGGCCTTCCTGGCCTGTGCACCGAGGAGTGACTTGCGGTAGTGATCCCACTGGTACGCCGGCCCTTGGACTTTTGAGTAACTTGTCAGGCTTGTTTCTCCACAGTTCCATGAAGAATTCACTGTACTCCGGCCTCAGAATCAACCCTTGGGGCATTCGGATCTGGCTAAAGGGCACATGAGAGTCTCACAGGCATGGAAAGCCATGACACGGTGGCAAAAACAACCTAAATGAAAGATCCTGGTGAACAAGACCCCAGCAGAAGGAACAGGCCATCAAGGTGGGAGGCTCCTTTCTCTGAAGGGAGGAAGGAACCTCCACTGTGATACGGCCTTGACTAAACAAGTTCAGAGTTGGTGAACTCAAGGGGCTTCCATAGCCTAGACAGCTCATGGCAAGAGCCTCGGGGGATTGCTGACGTCATAAATAAGAGTGCCAATTGTTAAATCAACAACGGGAGTCACTGGGTACATGCTCCCCACGTAGGATCTCTGTCCTTAATGTGTTTTACTATGAAACTTAAAGACAACACTGCTAGTCGAACAATACCCTATACCTTGTGTGGTTGTGTGAGTGCAGCCTGTTGAAATCCTTGCTTAGTATATACTAAGTTGATCTTCTGTATATGAAGGTAATTGAAAATGAAACTCGATAAAGGGCGGGATGGGAGAGGGAATGGGGGAGGGGAGGGCTGCAGGAGGGAGGGAGGTTGAGGGGGGAAGCCACAACAATACAAAAGTTGCACTTTGTAAATTCACATTTATTAAATAAAAAAATAAAAATAAAGAAAAAGAATTCACTGTGAGAAATCTGATCTTTTCCCCTTGTTGGCTTTCCTTGGGCATTTTATTGACTTGATGTTATGTAATGGAAACCCATTCAACAACAGGTGTCTCTTCAGGCCACTATTCAGCACTGCATTTTGTATTTCCTGAAATGTTGACTTCCGTTTTGCTCCAGACCAGCTGCTAAGTGTGATACGTAACCGAGAAGTAGGAGCCATGGATGAGGAGGAAGCAGAATGTACCTCCGTGTACATATTTGTGTTTGATTGATCTGGGGCAAGGGGAAGATGGGATTTTATTTTTCCATCTCTGAATATATAGAATGTGTCTCCACCTGGGCTGATGGCGGTGGATTTTCCCTTAGTAGACTCTCCGTTGTAAGCTCACTGTTGCCCTATTAATCTAGCATTTTTACTGTTGTGGTAAGATTCTGGGTGGAAAGGGAAAATGAAATGATACAGCATCTCAAGCAAAGGAACTCAGATGATTTCGAATGACCTGGTAACCAAGATTAGGTAGGGTCTGATAAAAATATATGTTAACGACGCAGGGTCAGGGCCCGTCCTTGGCCAAGAAGCAACACAGGGCGCGAAGCTGGTCTCAGTGCATTGAGGGAGGCCACAAATGAGGTGCAGTTGCCTGTGGCTTGTTGGGCCCTGGGGTGATTTTCTTTCTTTACCCTTATTTTTTTAAGGATTTATTTTTATTATTTATTTGAAGGGCATAGTGACACAGTGGGAGGGACACGGGGGGGGGGGGGAGATCTTCCATCTGTTGGCTTACTCCCCAGATGCCTGTAACAGCCAGGGCTGGGCCCATCTACTGCCTCCCTGGCACATTAGCAGGAAGCTGGACTGGAAGTGGAGCAGCTGAGACTTGAACCAGGCACTCCAATGTAGACTGCAGGCATCCACAGCAGCCCCTTAAACCCACTACCCACAACACCCACCTCTCTTTGCCCCTCTTAAAGGGTTCTCTGCATCCTGCCTCCTCCCATTTAGTTAGGATAAATAAACCATAAGAAGCTGTAATACATTTTATATTAGGAGTGCTTAATTGTTTTTGCACACTGTGGGGTGTGGGGGAGTTTAGCCCGCCCCCAGCCGGGGATTTGTGCCCTGCTGACTGGCCACAGGCCAGAGAAGGGGGCCCACCCCTGGCTCACCGCCCACCCCCAGCTCAGTCTGGGATCCTTCTTGGTATGCTGCAAGTTGGTGGGACCTGGGCAGTGACCCGGGAGGTCACCTCACCCCCAGGCATTGTTTGAAATTCAGACCTAACTGGCAGCCCTACTCCAGAAGGCAGTTTTGTCCCAGCCTTTGGGAAATGAGTGGGTCCATCAGCAAGATGGCTGTGGGGCAGGCGGCCTCTGCGCGCTTCTGTGAAGGGGCTGGAGCCTGGGCTGCTGCCGCCCAGTGCCTGCCACCTTCTTGCGGTAGCATCTGGAGCTGTCCTTAGGCCTGATGCAGCTCTTCGGTATGCAAAGGATGGAAATACCAGCACCATAAAGGCAGCGGTTTGAGTCCCAGCTGCTCCACTTCTGATCAGCTCCCTGCTAATGGGAAGACAGTGGGGGATGGCTGAAGTCCCTGGGCGGAGATCTGAAAGAAGCTTTTGGCTTCAGGTCAGCCCAGCTCCAGCCATTGTTGCCATTTGGGGAGTGGGCCAGCAGATGAAAGACCTCTCTCTCTCTGTCTGCCTCTGCCTCTCTGAAACTCTTTCAAATAAATACATCTTTAAAATATATATATAAATAAATTTAATACAAAAAAAAAACCCTGCTGAATATAAGGGCCATACTTTCTCCTCCTCCACCTCTTTCTCCTCTTCTTTGATTTCTTTGAGAGGTAGAGTAACAGAGAGAGAGAGAGAGAGAGAGAGCGCACGTGCAAGCGAGGGAGGGAGGAAGGAAAGGCCTTCTATCCGCTGGTTCACTTCCCAAATGGCCACAACAGCCAGGACAAAGCCAAGAGCCAGGAGCATGATCCGGGTCTCCTACATGGGTGCAGGGGCCCAAGGACTTGGGCCATCTTCCACTGCTTTCCCAGGCCATGGCAGAGAGCTGGATCAGAGGTGGCGCAGCTGGGACTCACATGGGATGCTAGCACCACAAGCAGAGGCTTAGCCTGCTAAGCACAGCGCCGGTGTCATCTCTTCTTATAGGCTACTCTTTCTTTAGTGGTAATGAGAGCTTGTAAGTACTGTACTTTTTCCAGAAGAAAAGTATTTCTTTGGAGGGCACGTAATATTATGCTATTTGATGCTTACAGTAACATGGATCATTGTTTGGAGACTGTGCACTGTAATTTCCTAAAAGCTTGTTCACTTCCACAGGACTCCTCTGCACTTGGCATGTGCGAGTGGTCATCCAGGAGTGGTAAATATGCTTCTTGAAAGAAACTGCGCAATTGACCCCACTGACAAAAGAGACGAAATGCCGTTAATTAAGGTACGCCGTAGTCACTCATTTCCAGCACAGGAAGGATGTGGTTTAAATGATGAGAATACAAATGAATTTATCTCACTTAAATGTAACTAGTGGGTGAAACCAGGAGAATGTTTCTTTTGAATGATGGGAACTTACACTCTATTTATTGGTATCATACTGACAGGCTACACAATGTCATGAAGAGGAATGCAGTACCATCCTGCTGACTCGAGGAGCCAACCCAAACTATACAGACAGTGTGGGGAACACGGCCCTGCATTACGCTGCGCTTAGTAACAACCTGGCAATGATAAAAAAAACTGCTTGCCTATGATGCAGATATTGATGCAAAAATAAGGTATGATCAACTTTTTTCCAAACTGTTTGAAATGCATTTGTTTGAATATTAT